ACTACAATGCCGGCTGTTCTGACTCACAAGACTGTATTCATATTTAAAGAATTTGCCACTGACGATTGAAACGCGAGTTTTGAGCAGTGTAGAGTAGCACTTGTTGTTTGTCATTTCTCCAATCACAAATGCAGACATGGTTTTATGTTTACGCAGCGTGATACGCAACACAACGCATAAAAAAGACAGTATAAGTCATTATAATCCATAATTATGTCCACCACTGGATGCAACAAATGCCTCGTTTATAATGGGTTTTCATGTTTTTGTCTCGTCGCTCCGGCCGGGACACTGCATCACAGTATGGTAAGGGGCGTAACATTTTCGTCACACGCTTGAGGTATTCGGCCAATCACAACGCACTGGATAGCTGACCAGTCAGAGCACACCTCGCTTTTCCGAATGATGAGCTTTGTAAAAATCTACGCGTTTCAGAAAGGTGGGGCATAGAGGAGAAACAATAATGTACAGTATGTGGAAAATAATGTATTTTTTTAACCTTAAACCACATAAACACATTTCATTACACCAAATACACAAAATAATGTTCTTTTTAGCAACATCATATGACCCCTTTAAGCAAATAATAATAATAATAATCGTCAGGGATCCCCAGACCAATAAAATTAGTGTGCCTCCTCCATTTTAAAGCCCACGAGCCGCCACTATATATATATATATATATAACAAAGAGTGTCATCCACAAAAATGCTTAATATATACTTTATATTTTTATTTTTGTAGAAAAAAAAACAAGACTGACACGGCAAAAAATAATATTAACTTTAAATTTTACACCAACATATGTAACTCTCAATGTGCACCAAACAATAAAAGTATACAGAATCATGTCAAAATAGTAACACATGACATCTTTAAGCATGAGATGCCATACAACCTCTTATTGTCCAAAGTGTGACTTTCAAATTCAAGGTTTTGGAGTCTAAAGAAAGAATTAGTATTTAAAAGATAGCTCTTACTGCTCTTGCTGGTCTGAATTTTTCAACGCATTTCACTTGAAAAAAAAAAAAAGTATTTAGCATTTGCTTTTAGAGCACAGTTAAACACACTGATATGAACTGTCTATTTGAATAACGGGTGGGAAATGCAAAGAAGTGGCCCAAGAACTTTGCTGCACAGATGTGGGATCTTGGCCGGTGCTCTGGGGGAATTTCAAAGGATAGAGTGGATTTGTGCAGGTGATAAGTTTCTTCATGATACACTTCTCATCAGCACCAACATCATCTGAAAGGTTGACACAAACATCTGCATCATTTCCCTTTTCCAAAACACTGAAGCCCTGATACAATTTCTTATCCTCATGAAGGTCGAGTGTTGTAATCTCTACATGGATTGGGGAGAACTTCATAACAGATGGAGGCAATATATGACCCTGTTAAACATGAGAGAAAAAGTAAGGGATGTATTTTGATCCATATTATAATGACTTTTTAACATTATTGATGGTTATGGCAGGATTTTTCTCCCACCTTCTCCTCTCCAAGATTGGCATCTATTTTTGGCTTGGAGATTTTGTCCCACCAATTCATCTTCATTCTGTAATGAAGTAGTAAAGTGTGTCAGAACTGAATTTGTCAAGGATGCGTGAATGAATAGCAAAAATGTAAGAAGTTTTGTTATCGAATGATGGAAAAACACAACAGACAACTCACCTCAAAATGCAGATGAAGATAACACAAATGATGATGATTAAACCAACACAGAGAGGTGGAATCACCATTTTGGCTATTTCATCTGGGGATGAGGCTGTAGAACATGTATAAATTGACCTGGATTATCTAAGACTATTAACACAGATGCATTAATGACTTTGAGACAGATATAGATAGACTTACATGTGGTGAACTCAACTGGTGCGCTCTGGTCACTAGATATACTATGATCATTATAGTCTGTGCTCATTGTTGCTGTCAGAATGTAGTTGGTATTTGGCTGGAGATTTTTGCCCATAATTTCAAAGGATCCCACAGTGTTCGGCACCGTCTTGGATATCTGTATGAACATATAACATATATCTGTTATATGTTCATACAGAACATATATCTGTATGAACATACAATGTTTCAAAAAATTTTAAACGTCAGATCTGAGGTGTTTATACAGTGATCTGTCACGCTAAATCAAAGAGCGCCAAAATGGCATTTGTTGTCTGAATTTCTTGAAAAAATTGAATAATTTGTTCGGTGCACATGCGTACCGAACCGAAAGACCCGTACCGAAAATTTTCTGTACGAATACATGTACCGTTACACCCCTAATATATATGTGTGTGACCCCTTAATTTTTGATTAGCAATATGCATTGCTAAGGACTTCATTTGGGCCCAATCCTAATTCTATTTATACCCCTTCCCCTACGCCTCCACCTACCCCTTCCCCTTGTCCCTTGAAACAGAGTGTCAAGGGGTAGGTGTGAAAATATTCCTCTAAGAATTGGGACACCACTACAATGCCGTCACACGTCATCATACATCGTCTAGCTCCTACAATAAACACCTATTGGTGTGCTGATGTGCATTAGAGTCTTTAATTACCATTCTATATTAATGCGCTGCTTACTGTCACACACACACACACACACACAGTGTACATACTGTATATGGACAATGCGCCATAACTATACTGCCAGAATCGTCAAGGAGTGGTTCAAGGAACATGATGGTGAATTTCTGTTAATGACTTGGCCTCTAAATTCACCTGACATGAACCCATGTGAAAAGCGGGTTCAGGCTACATCACCACCACCCCTCAATGTTCAGGAACTGGTGGACCTGTTGACATTATGGTACCAGATACCCCAAGAGATCTATCTTTTGAGGGCTTAATTATTTTTTAGTTATTAGATAGGTGGTCATAACATAACGTTTTATCAGTGTGTGTACATTTTATATATAATAAAATATTATTTATTAATTATAACAGTGTTTCCCAACCTTTTTTTAGTCGCGTTACACAGCAAAATCCCCAGTGTCAAATTAACACTGCTGGGTGTCTATATGTGTCCACACTACAGAGTGTTATAAGTAACACTGAAGCAGTGTTAAAGTTAATGAGGTAATTAAGAGATTATTTGAGTGATGATTGACCATTATTGAAGACACCTGATGTTAACAAGCAGAATTACCAAAGAAGAAAATGAAAATTTTGTAAGTCACCATTATAGTGGTCAGTGTTTACTTTAGTTTATATTTTTATTATTTATAACTGAATTATAACAGCCAGACAAGCAAAGAGCAAAAATCATCAGATGGTGATGATTGTGTTTTGACATCAGTATTAATTTTGTTGACTGGTAAACTAGTTGCTATAAAGACTGCATAATTCGCCTATATAACCATTGGTATTTCATTAAAAAGAAGACAATGTTCTTGTTCTTTATGAGAAGTGGTTTTATTTAATTTTAACATAAGGGCATGTTGTGTGTCACTGCAGTTAAATCGGTGTCTATCATGATAAAACCTTAATATCTATCCTATATAATGAGTTTGGAAATTTTAGAGAAATGCTTAATAAATGCATTACACTGTAACTAAACCCATTAGATTTTAGCCGACTAAATTTACTGTAGATTTAGTCGACTAAAACTAGACTAAAACTAAAGACAATTCAGATTACTAAAATATGACTAAAACTAAATGGCAGTTTAGTCAAAAGACTATGACTAAAACTAAATCAAAATTTGCTGTCGAAATTAACACTGTATGACATAATCATCATGTAATGACCTGAATAATTGAGTTAGGTTTTCTTTGTTGGTTACGTCAACACTGTGAACAACATGAGCTCTGGCATTTTCAGTATAATCAGACAGATGTTTTTAAAACTTATTTTGACCAAAAATGTAATGTCTTTCATTTAGACACACAGACATCAAGAATCAGCGTGAGAATCACAACAATGGTGACCATCAAAAAAGCATGTTGTAGCCAATCAAAACTCATCCATGGCTCCCATCATGCATTGCGTGCGGCATGAATAAATTATGAGCAGAATTGTCTTTATAATTTCTTTAATTCGTCGTTTTTTCTTTTATTTTTGCTGTTTTTATGTGACTGTTTAGTAGCTTGTTTTGTGATGTTCAGAGTTGATATCTGAATATGCTGTTTGTCACCGTTGTTGAGATTCATACGCTGGTTCTTGATGTCTGTGTGTGCCTAAAAGAAAGACTTTTTGAAGTTTTTTTTGGGGATCAGAACAGCTTGTAAGAAATCCTTCCAAAATTTCTAGAAAAAGCAGAATCTTTCGTTGTGGAGTCAAGGCTGTTGCAATCAATAAATGAAATTTAACTCCGAGATTAGACTCTAAATGAGTTTAGTGATTCAGGTCAAATAATGATTATGTTAGAACATAATCATCACCACCTCATGACTTTTGCTCCTTGCAAAAGTCTGGCTGTTATAATTCAGTTATAGCAGCCAAATAAAATGTAATATTAAAGATACAAGGGTCAAGAGCCCAACTAATGCAAACACTGAGCGGTGAACTAATTTTCGGCAGCCGGAATTTCGGTGCATCTCTTATTATTGGCGAAATCAGAAATGGATATTATACAATAGATGCTTTTTTGAACATTTTAGCAATTTATAAATCTTTAAAAAAGCTTTTTTTACACGGCACCCCGGTTGGAAAACACTGAATTATAATAATTAATATTATGTATTAATTATAAAAAAAAATTATGATCAATATGGTTCATATTATCTATATATTATCCTTACATTTTCATGTCCTCCTTTGATGCCATAGGTCAGATTTATTCTCAAATCTTCCAAAACTCTTATTTCATACTGGTCATCCCAAGTTACATTAAAGTTTCCATTTGCAGTCTTCTGCACTGATAAGACTGGAGTTTTCGGTTTGACTACAGAAAACGACAAACACACATGTAAACGTGTGAGATAAGATCGGATTACATTTTTGAATTCCTTAAAATTAGCATTTTAGAACTAAAAAGCATCTAAATTCTACAAATGCCATAGAAAAGGATTAACAATAACTTGTAGACAACATTTATACTCACTGAAGTCTTCAGTCTTGAATGTTTTGCTTGATAAAACATTTGTTCCTTCCAGAAGTGTACTAGTGAAGTTTTCATTTAAAAGAAAATCTTGCACTTTAATTTTGCACTCACAGTTGTCACTGTGATTACTTCTCTCAAAGATACATGCATACATTTTTTGAAACCTGCAATTTAAGAGATATTCATGTCAACTGATTGCTAAATGAACAGCAATGCATTTAGTTATAGAGGAACTACAGGCCTGTACAAACACTCACATATTGAATACAGTATGTGTGATGTTGAGCTTGTATCCAGAGCAGCTTTTGAGACGGTCAGTGGAGAGACTGCATTTCATTTCTGTCTCATAGTCATTAAAACACTTCAAGTCCTCCTCTGTAGGCTCTGCAGGGATTATAAAATAAAAGACTGGGTGAGATCTATAGTCTTTGGTGAGGTCACTATCACAGATGACCACACAGTTGCTTTGCAAAAGTCAAAATAGTTTAACAGTAAAACACTGTGTAAAAAGTATAAAGGATCCATGTGCCAAAATGAATTTTGAGGAGAGCAAGTAACAATTCATGTCTAAATAATAATTTGTGATCATATTAATGGATTTTAAATGACTAGTGGTATCTCAATCATCAGGTTTTCTCGTTTAATTTGATATATAATATTTCACAACATTTTCACCATTGGGTGCCACAAACATAAAATAACAGTGTATAGAGTTACATTTGACACAACTGTGACATACATACATACACACTCTATGTTTTCAGAGTCTGTTTTAGCCCATTTGTTCTATACAAAAGTATGCAGCTTACCAAAACAAAATGCCTGGCAGAAGAGTGCGAGGATGATCTGACTCAGAAGAGCAGTGGAAAACATTGTGACCGAGCTGTAAAAAAAACACACACACACACACAATAAATAAATACGATTTCTTTCGAAGAAATATCTTACGCTGTCATACTCTCTGTAGGCCTTTCTGACAGTTCGTTGCTCCGTTGCAAAGTATACGGTTTACAACTGAAATATTTTTAAATTAAACATACGGTTTCACTTACAAACACATAAAATGCCCGGTTAATGCTCGGTTTAAACCCTACTCACGACAGTCTACAATAGACTTGTCTTGCTTAACCGCAATAGCATCATAGAATTTGGCCACATGTCTGGACTGAACTAACGCTAGTGTCGCAATTCTTCTGTTTTTGTTCCTTCCGCCCGCGTTTCGTTTGAGGCTATATAGGCGATGAGTGAGTTTGAAGGCAATTATGGGACATGAAACAGAAATTTTGACTTTCTTTTCTTTTTAATGTAAAGGCCTCCTTATAGCCTAACGGGTTACATGTCTACTAGTCTGTGGGATGTGAGAGGGAAACGCATTTTTATATCATGAATGTGTATAATTGTGGTATTGTTGAAAACCAGTAGAAACGTCTGATGCCATTTCAGTTGTCATGATGTCATGAAAACTACTGTTTTTTTTAACTTACATTTACATTTAGTCATTTAGCAGACGCTTTTTATCCAAAGCGGCTTAAAAATTAGGACAATGAAAGCAATCAAATCCAACAAAAGAGCAATAATATGCACTGGTATTGTTGAAAACCAGTAGAAACGTCTGATGCCATTTCAGTTGTCATGATGTCATGAAAACTACTGTTTTTTTTAACTTACATTTACATTTAGTCATTTAGCAGACGCTTTTTATCCAAAGCGGCTTAAAAATTAGGACAATAAAAGCAATCAAATCCAACAAAAGAGCAATAATATGCAAGTGCTATGACAAGTCTCGGTTAGCCTAAACACAGAACATGTTTTTTTTGTTTTTGTTTAGAATAGTAGATAGAATAGGAAATACTAGTGTTAAGCCTCCTTATAGCCTAACGGGTTACATGTCTACTAGTCTGTGGGATGTGAGAGGGAAACGCATTTTTATATCATGAATGTGTATAATTGTGGTATTGTTGAAAACCAGTAGAAACGTCTGATGCCATTTCAGTTGTCATGATGTCATGAAAACTGTTTTTTTAACTTACATTTACATTTAGTCATTTAGCAGACGCTTTTTATCCAAAGCGGCTTAAAAATTAGGACAATAAAAGCAATCAAATCCAACAAAAGAGCAATAATATGCAAGTGCTATGACAAGTCTCGGTTAGCCTAAACACAGAACATGTTTTTTTTTGTTTTTGTTTAGAATAGTAGATAGAATAGGAAATACTAGTGTTAAGAGTTTTTTTTTAATAATAAATAAAAAGAAAACAAGTAGATAGAATAGAAAAAGAATTATGCCCATTCCTGAGTGTAAAGTCTCAACATGCACTTCAGTGTATGTGCCTTCCATAGAAAAACGAGTTTGCTTCCTGGTTCGTAGCAGGCAGCATAAAACAGAAGCCCTGTGAAAACCTGTTCGAAATTCCCCTGAAGGACCCGGACTCTATTTCAACATTCTGAGGTTTTATTTTAGAAATGTAGAAGCAAAGGCTGTAGCTATTTACATTGCTCTTAATTGAGAAGTGCTTTAGTTTTTGTAAGAATGCCATAGTAGTGGAACAGCTAGAGATTACATACAAAAATAATGAAATGTTTCACACACATACCGATCATCTGTTTGACAACACAGTTACTGTACACAGGCTGAGACTAACTGTCTATGAACTGACCGAGATGAGAGGAGTTTTTGAAGAATAAGCCATTGTCCTGTTGATGATAGCAAAACAAACAAAAAACATTATAGTTTCATCTACATCTAAATGCATCCTATATACAAACATCTTTTTTTCTTTGGTTTGAAACATCCTATTGAAAAATACAAGTTCAATTTACAGACTGAGACAGCAAGTACAGACCCTGTAATGAAGCCATAGACCTGTAATAATGACATTAGCAAATGCCACATAATATAATAAAAATGTGAATGCCAAGAAAAATAATACATGACTTCCTAGAGTATTTTATAACTAGAGTATTAGAGTAAGTCGCTGTATAACCCCTTTTGTTGAAAGAGTGAATCCTCCAAAGTTTCTTATTACTGGTAATATTGTCAAAGAAATTATCATTGCAACTGTATCAATAGTTACAAATGTAAACATAGCCATTATTTGTTTTTACAGCATAGTTAAACAGAATAAGAAGTCTTGTTATCATGCCTTTAAAATTTGCATTTGCAAATTTGACTCAGATTCACATTTGACATTTTGTGTAACATAATAGAGTAATAAAGAAGTATGACTAACAAGAATAGTTACTGTACATGATCCCTACAGGCATTTAAAGTGACACTCCACCAAAAAAATGTATATTCTCTCATCACTTACTAAGATAAACTTGTATTATATGGACTCACTGAGATGGATTACTCCTCTAAAAAGCTTTGTTTGCATTTCACAGAAGAAATAAAGTCATTTGGGATGGCATGATAATTTCAATGGGTGGGTATCCTTTTAAGGCACTTTTCAACATCTTACTGTAGAAATGGCTGGCACAACCTAAATTCAAGGCATTGGCTCTGAGTCTGAACAAACAATGGACAAAGTTTGCATGGTTCTTATTACTGGTCATATTTTCAAATGAATGATTCATTGTAATTGTTGACATTACATGCAAAAATGAATTCAATGTTTCAGGCATGTACTTGTAATTTGTTTTATGAGCACAGTTAAACACACTGATATGAACTGTCTATTTGAATAACGGGTGGGAAATGCAAAGAAGCGGCCCAAGAAATTTGCTGCACAGATGTGGGATCTTGGCCGGTGCTCTGGGGGAATTTCAAAGCTCCACATGCATTAAGTGCTTGTTCAGTACTGACGCTCGTGCTCCACTGTCCTTCTGTGCTCTTTGTTAAGCCTTGAAAAGCTTGATATCCTTCATCACTTGGTGTGATGCTGCCATCAGGCAGAATAAGAGAAGGATAGAGTGGATTTGTGCTGGTGATGAGATTTTTCATGATGCACTTCTCATCAGCACCAACATCATCTGAAAGGTTGACACAAACATCTGCATCATTTCCCTTTTCCAAAACACTGCTGAAGCACTGATAGCCGTCTTCCAGAGTATCATTAGTGGGAGAGTTAAACTGGTTATCTCTTGCATCCGAGTCTGAATCTTCCCTCTTGACGGACTGACAGTAATGATCAGAGCTCAGCTGATCCAGGAATAAAGAATCACCAGTGGCTGATTCCAGATATGACATATTGCTGAAAACTGATGAGCCAGAGCAATTGCCCGAATCTCGGTTTGCACGGTTGCGTTCTCTTGAGGAACTGATACCAGTAGCCCTCTTGTATGACCTGCTCGTAGTAACCTGATTGTAGGGGGATAACGGTGATGGGTTGTTTGTGATTGGATGTAATTTAAACACCTCATCCAAGGCATGCTCGACACGTGATGCGATGTTAATGGTGCTGATGTTCTCTTCAGGGCTACCAGAGCAAGCCTGGCCATAATCCACTGGCGCTGACTCAACACTGTGGGAACATTTCTCATTGTTTGTATCTACTGATAATGCTGAGATCCTGTAGGGAGACAAACATGTTGAGGCATTATTAATCAGAATTAGAATGACGCTAGTCTGTCACATGTTTCTGAAGTTTTTTGGAGTAAAAAGAAAGAACGAACAAACAAACAAACAAAAGAACATACAATTTCTTATCCTCATGAAGGTCGAGTGTTGGAATCTCTACATGGATTGGGAAGAACTTTATAACAGATGGAGGCAAAATATGACCCTGTTAAACATGAGAGAAAAAATAAGGGATGTATTTTGAGTTTTAACATTAGTGATGGTTATAGCAGGATTTTTCTCCCACCTTCTCCTCTCCAAGATTGGCATCTATTTTTGGCTTGGAGATTTTGTCCCACCAATTCATCCTCATTCTGTAAGGAAGAAACAAAGTGTGTCAGAACTGAATTTGTCACTTTTTTTTGTCTAAAAAGTTTTTTATTGAATTATGGAAAAACACAAAACACACCTCAAAATGCAGATGAAGATAACACAAATGATGATGATTAAACCAAAACAGAGAGGTGGAATCACCATTTTGGCTATTTCATCTGGGGATGAGGCTGTAAATATACATTTACATTTAGTCATTTAGCAGACGCTTTATCCAAAGCAACTTATAAATGAGGATATAGAAGCAATGTAGTTTGATCAGGATTATAAGACTATTAACACAGATGCATTAATGACTTTGAGACAAGGTGTTAGGACATGGCAAAATTTTGAGGTATGAAAGTAAAAGTAAACATTTGACAGAACTGGTGTCGTCCAATCAGCACGTTCTTGTTTAATCTGTTATAAAACACACACATCAGCTTTTCATCAACATGTCTTAAACAAATAAATTAACGAATAATTGAATAAAAATGAGAAATAACATGTTTGAGCCGATGGAGAAGTTTGTAACACTTTTCACAGTACTTCTACTGAAGCAAAGAAGAACGGTGTACAGAGCAACATTTGACACAATTATGAGAGTGACACCAGCATATAAATATGGAGATTTTATATCTAAGCATACACAGAGGGAAAAAACAACATTGTTAGCGAAACAAACGCTTACCGTAACAAAATGCATGGCAGATGAGTGCGAGGATGATCTGACACTTCAGAAATGTGGAAAACATCCTGCACGTCCTATACATGAAAACACAAATATTACCTAATATATCTTCAAGCAATTAGGCTACACGTTACAAACTAAACTGTAAAAAAAAAGATTCCTCGTAAAATATAGCCCAAATGTTACTTTTTCATACCGTCTGACTGTATTTGACAGTCCGTTGTCTCTTCCACAAAGTAAAAATAAAAGAAACCGAGTTTACTAACCACTCGGTAGGCAAATTAAAGACGGTTAAAAACGGTTTCAGTCACAAATACAGGTAGGTTAAATCTAACGTAGGGCTATGCTTCCCTATTTGCAACATGGAAGTCGCCAAAAAAGGGCGTATCGAAGTTTCCTGGAACACACGCAGCAGTTCCATGGACTCCCGCTAAAACACAAGCCCTGATCTCCCTGATCTCCTGCGCGTCTCGAACACAGCAGAATTCCACGCAAGCCTATCATCAGAGCCCACGTCAGCGATAAACAAGCAAGACAAGTCTATGTATGAGAAAGCCAAGCTCAAAGGAAGTCATTATGCAAGGACCACAAAAGGAAGAGCAAAACGAGACTGCATTTCAGATC